GTCTGCTAGTGACCATGAGGTCACCAGTAGAGTTGTAGACTGGAGAAGGAGACAGAACAGTCTTAGATGAATTTTAGTAGAATGGGATCAGACCCTGAATAAACAGTAATGAGATCAGAGGCAGACTAAGACCAAGGCAGGTAAATAATATCCCACTATTACTGCTATTATTTAGGCAGAGCTAGACAAATAAAATCCTAAATTCATTTTTAAAAATAATTCAGTCTAAATAAAGACAAATGCCTGCAGTCGTTCCCATGATTAGTGACTTAAGCACACCATTTTGCTGTGGTGGAAGAGAAGATATTGTAGGGGCAACTGAAATCACCTGTCCAATATGTTGTCTTCTGTTGTCCTGTGTCTTGGTCCCAGATGTTTCAGCCTAGTCTATGTTTTTCATTCCTTTCCTTGGGACATTAACAGCTGCTCCCAGCTGAACAGGCTGTATCAGAAATTATAGGCTCTTCTGCGATATCTGAAAACGAGATAAAATAATTAGTGATTTTCCTAGCAGAATTACCTTGTTTCAAAGGATTGTGTCCTATACTTACAGCCTGTTTTTTATATCAAGTCAGATTGAAGTGAAACTATTGAAGAAAAATGTGAACAACACGTTTGCTGCTGGTACTTGGTCATGTTGCTGACTATGTGTTTACCTTTTATGTGAGAAGACTAGGTCAGGATGGGCTGCGTGTGCCTCAAACCTAAACTGGTTTGTTCTTGTACCTGGACAAATCTAGGAGAGGGTGGGGGGCAAATACAGTTTTGTGTCCCCATTCAGTTCTGTGTAAGGGAGGGAGATAAAAGTGTCCTTTTACCTGTCACCACCAGTCCCCACCTCCTTCAGATGGGCTCCAAAATGAAGACACACTTTTAGTCTTCGATGAATTCCTTTCACAGTCGGGGTCACAGGCATCATTAAGAAGTCAGCATCCTACTTCCCTCCCTTCCAGCACAACTGTGGCAAGTGCAGCACGGACCAAAGAGGATATTCACAATCAGGACAGCCTACAAACAGGAACACAGTCTGTAGTAAGCAAATCACTCTCAATCCAAACCAGTTACTGTGGGCTGGAGTTCTGTTTATCATCCTGGGGCGGAAGAAAAAGGAGTGGGAAGGAAAGCAGCACGAACACTGTCATGAAGTTACCAGGTGAAAAATAAATGCATTTAAAACCAGCTAATAAAAGAAAAAAAAATACTACTTTTTTGTCTCTAGGAAAAAAAAATAGGATTATAAATTCAAGGATAGTGGATACACTGAGAGCTATCAGGCTATCAAACAGAAACAGCAATGGCAGAGGAAGGATGTGGCCTGCGGTTCCCATGGCAATCTTTCATGATGACTGGGTGACAAAAACAGGAGGGTGGAGCCAAGGGTGTTTTTTGTACGAGGTTGTATCGTTGTGTGGACAGGGGGTTCCACAATGATAAATTCCCCGGGAGGGCTTTACAAAAACCTGTATGTGCATGAGCCTTGTGGGAGAGTGTGTCAAGACAGCTACAGAGAATTCCTCAGCACAGCAGGCATGTTCTGTCTTGGTTTATCCTGACAGACCTCGTATGCTAGGACTTACTTTCATCATCTGAGAACGGAGCCTGCCCTCTCTGGACAACAAGCCAGGAGATTCTGAGACATGGAAATCATTTTTGTCAAACCAGCTTGACTGCAGATGCATCTAAAAACCTATCAGAGAATTTGAAGCAGAGAAAAGTGTTAGAAAAAGAATTCTGACATGTAGCAGGTATCTCTCAGAGGTTTTCTCTCTTAAATAAGCCTCCAGTTCCCACTGATTGATTCATGCCTGTGAGCACAAAGGTTTTCTCTAATTCTTCTCCACGCTGTCTCACTGCAGTTCTTCCTAACGGATATCAAGTGTTTGCCCAAGACCAGCCAACTGATTCTTCTGGCTGTCCTCGTATGGATTACTTTTAACCTACCAAAAAATTGAATGGGATCCTGAAAGACTATTCCATACGACTGGCCCACCATTGAAGGGAAAACACATGGATTTGGTTTAGTCCAGTGCCACAAAGACGAATCACCTAGATGGAAAGGCATGTGACTATGACAATCACAAAGCAAGTATGATTTGATTATGAACTCCACCAGTTACAGAAGGGAAGGCTTCCCAATGCTGACTGTAAGGAAGCTCTAGTTGTTGAGGAATTATGTTTCTAGACAATGACAGCCTCTACCACTTTGGGTAGGTACATCTGCATGGTTTCTACATCTGAAAAACGGGAATAGCAGGTGATACCAAAGAGATGACATGAAGATTAGCAAAAGGTTGTAAACCAACTTGAACTGAAATGTAGACAATAAGTTCAAAAAACTCTGAGAAATGTTTTTATAAATGCTACCGATTATACCATGGGATTTCAAGCTGGTTTTCTGCCAAAGCCCTTCAGATAGAGATTGGCAGATCTTTGGGATTTCAGATACAGTAAACATTGCTTAAGCTTCTGTCTGCGAAAGCGAATTGCGGTGCACACCTCTTCTTAGCTTATGATACAACCCTTTGTCACCGTGAGCTATAATTTGAATTTCGGCGATGGTACAAAGCTGACAGTAATAGGTAAGAAATTTTTATTTTCTCTTTTAAATTGCTTCAAATCCTAGATCTTCTCTTTAGAGAACTTCAACCTTATTCTCCCTTTCATTATTAATCTGAAGTTTTCCTAATGCGCTAGTAACCCAGTCTACTTTGGAGAATAAAGTAAGTTTAGTGCTGTAGGAAGGGACATACATTTCACTTTGGAGAACTGAATGAATGCATTTCCAGTGAACAAAAAGCTCTTCATAGAAAGAATGGAATTAAAAAGATGTGAATAGCAGAAGTATGAAATCGACATCTGTAAAAATTGCTATTCCTCAAAAGTACAACTATTCTCCTGGGGCTACAGGTGATTAGAGACAAGTCAATGAAAGGCAATCTGTCTGGCAAGAACTGAGTTACAGTTAGACCTTGGGCAGGTCTAAAAAACAAAATCAAGACTCTACAAACTTAAATTACTTTGGATCTTTTCAGGGTAAACTAAATCATGGGTTACCTCAGATAACTCAGAGAGACGAATGAGCGTACTAGCATTTTTCGTTGACAAAACAGAAGTCACCAAAAAATACTCAGCTTTACCATAAGCAATACCAACAGATCTCTGCAGCTGTTTAATTCCTTGTTGTTATAGAAAACAACTCTCCACAGCACAGCAAATTTCTTTCCACAAAATGGACTTATCAGGATAGTGATAGATCATTTAGGGCACCGGTCTTACTATTCCAGAGTAGACACTAAAAGGCCACTGAAAACAGCAGAAACACAACAGGTAGTTCATTTCAAATAAAAGTAGCTCTCAGGGAATGTTTCTGGGCCACTCGTCTGGATTTTGGCCTCTCTCCAAACCCAGGGGAAAACAAGGCTGCTTCTAAGACTGATAAATGGTGGTGATCTCTTCTTCTCATTCTATTACTCCTGAAGTTAGAAGAATTGATGCCCTGGGCTTTTGTACCACAACTTTCCATTACAGGGTAAAATGATTGGAAGTGATAAGATTCAACCTCCGTAGGAAAAATACAGGGATCAGTGTTTTCCGAAATCCAGTGTGAATCTGAGGTGCCTGAGTTGATGAAAATCAATACACTGATCCCTCATTGACCATAGGCAGCTAACTTTAATAATTACAGCTAAGAGAACAGAGAGAATAAAAGCAGAGACCTACTTCCCAGGAAGGAGAAAGGGAGGAATGTTTAGGAACTGCTACAATGGGGAGAGTGACCCAGGGTCCTGTGTTATACGTTACAAGTTATTTTGCATGTAAAAATAAAAACATTTATTTTATAAGACAGCAACATTCACGATGTTGAAAGGAAATGAGGACGTTAAAGAAACGAGGCTGTTTAGTCAAAAATAAGCAAAGAAAATTACTCTGCATATGGAAAAGATGTACATCTAGCTAAATAAATAAATAAATTAATTAATTAATTAATAGATTTTCTTAGTACCCCTACATAAATAGATAAATATCCCCTAAAGAAATGGTGAAAGCTGCAACAACCAATTCATCGAAGCCTGAAGATAAAGGGCTCTGGAAGAGGTATTTCTGAGATGGATCTCACCTGGTCAGACACACAGATGTGGTGATGTTCCCCTACAGACCTTTCTTTTTTTTTTAGGGGACCATAAATTAATGGACTTTGTGTTTCTTGTTTTGCTGGTACCGCGTGAGGGGAGGGCTAGTTCACAGGTTTGGCTCAGAGGGCTGAGAGGAGAGGAGAGGTTTTCCTGCAGCCATAAAACAGTGTGAATAATGAAAGACTGTTTTTCGGCAGTGGGACAAAACTCACAGTCCTAGGTAAGTTGGAAATCAGATCTTCATGATATATATAAGACTGGTTTAGGGGACAAGGGCATTCTTAATAGCAGAATAATTGTCATTTTTCATGCAGCCATGAGGACAGAATTAATGCTTTATTCCTTGCTCATTAAAATAATAATACAGAATAATACAGAAGGTAGGATTTGCAGGTATGAACTTTGAGATCCTTGTGTCCGTTGCCTCTGTCTTCCCTTACTGGGACCTTCATTTTCTCCCATTCTCCAAGAAAACATTATAGAGGTTGGAACGAAAGATCCTTCTTTGGTCTGCAAGTTTTTGCAGTTCTATGCAACAATCAAAAGCCACATTTCAGAGGTGAAGTCTGGATTCTTGTGTCTGCTTGAAAGAATAGTCTTGCTGGTACTTTGGTCCACTCTCTGCAGATGGTGGGCAGGCTGCCTAAAGTTGTTTTGGGACACTGGCTTCCTCTAATGGCCCTTTTCATGACTTCTGATTCTCCGAAAGGACTCTATACTTTTTCTCTTGGTGTGCTTTTCCCCTCTATTCCTTCTCCTCGTTTGCTTGCTCTGCCTTCTATCCAGGAAAGCATTTAACATCACCTATATCAAGGCATTTTGGATTCACAGGGCAGAATAACCTTTTCCATCTGCTCCTGCCACATCTGACAGCAAACTGTAGAAATACACACTGGTGCCTGCTCCTTTAAACAGCATCATTTCAAGGAACTAAGTAGCTGGCAAGACGAGTATAATGACACTGTGGTTGATAGTCTGATCGTGTCCAGCTGGGCTTTTTAACTGCACTACTTACCTTTGGAGCTGGTATTGTGCTCGGAGTTGTAGGAAAGTAGCTGTGATTAACCCAAGTGCTCAACGTGGAGAATACTTGGAAATGCCCCTTGCATTAATGATATGTAGCATGTACACAGATAGTTTTAAAATGAGAGTACAAGTGAAAGACAATGAGGAATCATGAAACTCACCTTGCTGTGATGGGAGTGGAAGACCTGTGGAACTTTTCCTCTTAGGTGGGTGAGGAATGTGTGACAGGGAACGCGTGAGTTTATGCATTGAAGTGATTAAACATTGTGCCATGAACACTGTGCAAGATCAGAACAGAATGGGCTGTTGATAACACTTTTTTCTGATTGTCTCTGCTCTTGCTTGTACCAGTCTCCTTATTCCATTTCAAGCATGATCATTCTCTGGCTTTCTTTGTCTTCCCAGTAGTCTTTAATCATTCTTTCTGTCTGCCTTTTTCAGCTGCCTTCCTCTTTGTCTTTTTGTTTTGTTTTGTTTTGGTCTGTTAAATCTCTCTCATTTTTCTTTTGTGTCCTCTCTATCTGTTTCCATGTCTTCACTCATTAGCCAGTTAGGCTATGAGCCAACGAACTTATATCAAAGATACTTTTAGGATGGAAAAAAATTCATAAAGCCAAGTACTAGAAGGGAGCAGTAAAAGTGATCAACCTCTCCTCATGTACATTAGAAGGAAAGCAGAGCAGCCCCAAACCTTCTAGGGAGTTATCTCCGTTACTATCTAGTTACCTCTTCCAAAGTCTGTGCAAGCTCACACGTTTTCACAGAAGGACCTGATCTTTGTAGCATAAGCACTGACAATCATGATTAAGGCTAGCAGTTGAAAGCAAACACGAGAGTTTAGGGGTCAAGATCTATGCAAGAGAGAAGTTAATTCTGCTAATTCTCTCTACTCTAGAAAGGAGAGAGTGATCAGGAAGAACATCTATAATTTATAGAGCCTTCACACCAAAAAAAAAAAAAAGTAAAAGTTTTCTTTTTGTCTCCATAGTTCTCTCTGCATTTCTGTTTCCATGTGGACTCTGCAGACCTGATGTGTTTATCACACTAGATCAGAGTAGCCCTGAAGAGAAGGATTTGGGGGTGTTTATAGATGAGAAGCTCAACATGAGCCGGCAGTGCGCTCATGCGGCCCAGAAGGCCAACCGCATCCTGGGATGTATCGAGAGAAGTGTGGTCAGCAGGTCAAAAGAGGTGATTCTCCCCCTTTACTCTGCTCTTGTGAGACCCCACCTCAAGTACTGCGTCCAGTTCTGGTGTCCCCACCATAAGACAGACATAGATTTGTTGGAGCATGTTCAGAGGAGGGCCACAAGGATGATCCAGGGGCTGGAGCACCTCTGCTACGAGGACAGGTTGCGGGAGCTGGGATTGTTCAGCCTTGAAAAGAGAAGACTTCAGGGGGACCTAATAGCTGCCTTCCAATACCTGAAGGGAACCTACAGGAAGGCTGGGGAGGGACTTTTTACAAGAGTGTCCACTGATAGGACAAGGGGAAATGGGTTTAAGTTGAAGGAGAACAGATTTAGATTAGATCTTAGGAAGAAATTCTTCAGTATGAGGGTGGTAAGACTTTGGAATAGATTGCCCAGAGAAGTTGTGGATGCCTCCTCCCTGGAGGTGTTCAAGGCCAGGGTGGACGGAGCCTTGAGTAGCCTGATCTAGTTGAGAGGCGTCCCTGCCCATGACAGGGAGGTTGGATTAGATGATCTCTGAGGCCCCTTCCAGCCTATGCCATTCTATGATTCTGTGATTCTATATGGGGGAGTGGGGGGGGAGGAAGAAAAGATGGCTTTTAGGGTCACTGCCTAGCTACTGAGTAACATCTCATTGTTGTTTTGTACTTGCTTTTTGACTGTAGAATTGCCTTTAGTCTTACATGTAGGTATTAAACACTTCAGAACAGGGGACATCTTTTGGTTTGTGAGTGTATACAATCTTGCATCATTTTGAGAAGATGTGTAGTCTAGGATGAGGGCTTTTCATACCTAGGATAACCTACATAATAAATAACATAAAGAGATATTTCATAGTCTTAAAAAAGGATGGCAAACTAAGACCTAAAGCAAAACTTGCCCCAGACAGGTTACCTGTCTAAAGTGTTCTTAGAATCATAGAATCATAGAATCGTTAGGGTTAGAAGGGACCTCAAAGATCATCTAGTTCCAACCC